GATAAAGTGTTTCCCTGAGCTGTACCCTCAACTCATGTTTTCACTCATTCACTTATGGTCTAGTTTACAGTGGGAAAAAAACATGATAAAAAAGAAACTAGCAGTTACTTTCACCTGATTTGACAATGGTCCCATATAAAAAGTGTTCAAAGTCACCTACAAAACCAGAACAGACCAACTCAGTTTAACGTAGCATTTTTACCTTAAAAGACTTTATTATTCACAAGAAAGCACAAGGAGAGCTACAAAATATTCAGTAGTCCAGAGAGCTGGGAAGGGGATTAAATGTTTCAGAATCTACAACTTGTTTCTAGCTCAAGAACTGACCAGCTACATGAATCATTTGACCTCCCTTGGCCTTGATTTCACGTCTGCTTCTCTGTGGCTCCTGAAATTTGTGATTGCAAAATAGCTGTCTCCACAAGGAGCTGACTTGGAAACCTTTAGTGAGATAATATAAAGCAGAAGTTATTGTCAAAGAAAAATATTTATTAGTTTTTTAAAAAATAAACCCAGTTGAATGTGAAAGTAAGAAGACAAAGCTGAATCCTTATACCTCTGTCATACTGGGGAAAACAGATGAAGCTTTGAGGGTGATTAATCACTGGGTCAGAGTCCTCAGTGACATGAAGGAGATGTATTAGCAGGCGTTCTTTCTGTGGAAGATCTATCATGTCCAAGTCCACCCCATAAGGAAGGATGCGTCTCTCATTTCGCAGTCCTGAAGAGTGTTCAGCCTGCCCTGAACTTCAGTGATGTCTGAGGGCACCACAGGCTGGGAAGGAACTTGAATAACTTACACAGATTTTAGGTGGCTAAGGTTCGGCGAGATGAACTGCAGCGGATGCAAATGCTTTTAGAAGCCAACTAGGATGTTTTTACGTGATGGTAAAAGCGGATTAAAATTTCTGTAAGAATAAAATGCTTTGACAAGAAGAGCCTGGATGATGTAATGGTAAAGTCACCATCATCTTTAAGAATTCTCATAAAATATTTGTAAAAATCATTGTAAAGATATTTTGAATTCTTAAGTTATGCAAATAAGTTGGCATTTGTAATCAATGAAATGAAGTTCACTGAACATATAATGAAATGTGTGCATATTGAATTAGACTGTTGAAATTATAAATTGAAATGTTTAAGGATAACTTCTTTTATCACCTCTTTGATATAGACCCATATAAGAAGATTTTTTTTTTCTGAATGATGTGTCCACTTTTCTTTTAGAAACGTTAATCCTCTATATTTTTCTTTATAGGTTTACCAATTTTCTGGTAGAGAAGTCTTACAGACTTTACTAGTGGTTACTGATTTTTTTCATATAACTTATTCTATTTGTTCTCATTCTAGTTCAAGGGTAGAATGTATTCTTTGCCAGAATGCAAAATCACATAATCTCCTTCAACTTCTGCTCCTCAGAGAGCATATATTAGATCTGACTCTGAAGCATAAAATGCACACTGTCTTTCCAAAAACATTTTACTGTCATCTGACAGGATTAGCCCATATAGTTAAGAATGAACGTTAAAACAACCACATTTCCATTGCAAATTTTAAAAGCAAAGCTAGGAGTCTAATGACAGTATCTGTGAGAAAATGTAGTAGGATAATTATGTGAATTAAAGACTAAGATTATCCTCAGTGGCAAGCAGGATTGTCTCTCAGTGCTATGATAATAAAAAACCTACATCATGTTATGCAACATGAAAATCAAATGGAAATATTTTATTCTGGGTGAATCAATAAAGAAAATACCCTTTTTCTGTCACAACAATGAGTCTAAAGCTACAATGTTCTACCAAGTGATTTTTTCGTTTGTTTATTAACTTAAAACCTCTGAATATCAGGCATTTATTAATGTATGGAAAGTCTTCATTTCCATGGCTTTTAAATAATAATACCAATAATAAAACACTGAATAAGTGATTTTTTCTTTTGTTTTTTTAACTTAAAACCTCTAAATATTAGACATTTATTAATATATGGAAAGTCTTCATTTCTATGGCTTTTAAATAATAACACCAATAATACAACACTGAATCCCTGTGAGTGAGGACTGAAGCAGGAAGACAATCTTTTGTCAGGTATTTCACTAGTTCTTAACCTGTCTCATTACCACATTACAGAAAAAGATATACACAAAGAACATCTCTTCAAAGCATTCATACAGAAAAGCAGTGTGCATGATCATGCTTCTTTGACCAGTCAACAAATCTTACTTATACTCCCACAGACAGGTCACGAACAGCTGAGTATATATGTGCCATCTAGTACCATATTTGTATTCTTCACTTTGGACAATAGCATAGCTAATTCTAGCTACTAACAAATTTTAAAGGATAAAGGCAATGGAGAATTCTCCTGGGAAAATCATTCCACAGTTTAATAGATCATAAGGAACTCTGGCTTATAACTTATCCTTTAGTAATTTCATACTCTTAATTATTGTGATAACTCTTACGTGTTTAACTTTGGCTTCCTCAGAATGTTCACTTCTTTCAAATGAGCAGACACCTCTGCAAAACTTTTTTGAAGACATTGTTCAGCTATATTAAGTATGGTATATTAAAAGAAGTGTGAAGTTACTAAGTCAGTTTAGAGATTTTTTTCTTGCAGGTGGAAATAAATTAGTAGATTTGACTTAGATTGAGTATCAGGAACCTAGTAAGATGTGACCCAGTTAGAGCTAAGAATATCTTCTTACTCTGGAGCAAAACACTCCTTTTCTCTATTGTGCAAAAATAGTTTTATGCCTTGTCAGCTAAAGATCATTTAAAATCCATTGTAGGCCATTATTTCTTTCATATGGAAATTGCTGACAATGGCACAAAGTGGTTACAGAAATTATACCACGGTTGTATATATTGATTACAAAAATTATTTTTGTTATAGTTCTTTATAGTAAAAAGAGGAAATCGTAAGTGCTAACATGGTTGAGTGTTCGAGGCTATTCACCCACAAAAATGCACAAAATCTCTGGATTGAGAAAGGATCAGACACTGTTATCCTTTTTGTACTAAACAGAACCTGAAAGCACAAGGAATTCTCTTAATGCCACTCGTACCATCTGTGGAATAAGGATTTGTGTAGAGTATAACCTAAATAAATCTATAGAACTAATCCTAAAAAGGTACTTTTCACCATCTCCAACAAACAGTTCATGTATATTTTTTTCCCTCTTTTTATATTCCTCTCCAAGGAATAAATTACTAGTATGTAAAATATTATCTCAAATAAAAGTTATTTTGTCACAGCTGTTTGAAAGCCATTGAACACAAATGTTAGAGTCATTAATACAATGTTTTTACTTGTGCATCTTTTAAAGCTGTTTTGTAGCTGCTCATTCATACCGGCATCCTAGCATGAGACTGATGAAAATCAGTTTTTCTTTACAAAACAGATGCTGCTTCATCTGCACCTGGTCGGATGATACCCCCAACCCTGTATTTTTCCAGCTATGAATACCATGAATAATATTTCTGCCCTTACCAGACCTCACACTGGAAATTTCTCCTGATTTTCAAACTTCTCTACATGTTGTATTTTTGGCTGACAGGAATTTTAACTCTGCACTGGCACCTTTCCACTAAGCCTACATGCCTTGGTTTTCCTCAGTGAACAGCAATTGAAGCATATATTGCTGAGCTTGTCTGTTCTGCACCTTTTTTTTTTTATTTGGGTGTGGGTAGTGGGGTTTTTTTTGCTTGGTTGGTTGTTTCCTTGCATAAGCTTTGACTGGCTCTCTGTAATTCAGTAGTGCTTACCTAAAATCTCATTTTAAAAAAAGCAAAAAGAAAATCCACGTTGTGTAATTTCTTTATCCTAATGCCAGCTCTTAGCTGTGGAAATGTATCAGCTGATTATATGATCTAATTTCTATAAAATAAGTACCTGATGGAACAGAATTGAATAAAAACCAGGCAGGCTGATTTTTCAAGCAGATCATCTTGAACATATCTGATGACTCACAGATCTAAAATTGCTGCTGGATGGTGGAATGAGTAAAGAAATGTTCTGAGACAGCTTTATATTCACTATGGTATGTTTGGAAAATATACAGTAGGAAATTAATTTTGAAGTCTTTCTTGAGTTCCACAGAATGATTCAGGATCATTTTCAGAAGTGGATTAACATTAAAACATTTATTATCTTATTATCTAATGTTATACATATAGTTTTATAATCATTCATTTAGCATTTTAAAGATTCTTAGTATTGTTCTAATAAAACTGGATACTGCAGATAATTTTACATTACATAATAAAAAAATAAATCTGTGCTTGTAAACTGGTCATCTTTTAAAATCTTAATAAAAGGAAAAATGCCTTTATTTTGATAGAATTTTGTTCTAAGTACAGTAATATATAATGAGCCCAACTGCAGTATTTATGTTGAATAGTGATTCTAACTTCAACTAATATAATTTTTCAATCTCATTTGCTAAATTGAGTATTGGTTTACACATTTTCCAATAGCTCCATTGAAGACTAAGATGGTAGCAAATACTTGCTGATATTTTTACACTGCTAAGAAAAAGCATTTGATTTAGTCTTATCATCGTATGAACAATAAATAGATGATTCTTTGAGAGCTCCTGATAATTGTATTAGAATATCTAAGGTCTATTTTTTCACTCAAGCATATTTATATAGTGAAGCATTACACAAATATGAGTATTTAACTTTGGTTAATGAATACATTTAACTGCAACAACAAAACTGTCTTGACTTTGGAAACAGTTTAAAGCTTTTGGATGACAGAATATTTACAATATCCATTTATGGCTTCTACTCTTTTTCCATTTGCAAGACCCAGGTTTTCAGTAGCCAGAAGGAGGCCTAGATATTCAAAGTAGCAAAGTTTGCTTTCAGGCACCTAAATAGCCATGAACTTTTCAAACAGAAATCTCCATCTCCTCACCTCATGACACACCTGATATGATTTTCCAGAAGATCTCTACATCCAAGACTTTCCAGGAAAAACAACAAATCAACAACTTGGGCTTTTATTTTTCATAGCTACATGTGGGATAATCTCCTTTTTAAAAATCCACAGTTACTTTTGGTAGCTGAGATTTAGGAAAATAAAGCAAGAAACCAAAATATAACTAATCCCCCACACCTCTATGGGAAGCGTACATGCCTGCAAGGTGTTTAAAGGGAGGTCCCCAGTCTGTAAGGTAGTCGTAACTCTGATCCGCATCTGACACATTAGAACCTAGAGAGCTGAGCGATCCTGCCGAAGAGCCGGTCCCCTCAAATGCATAGGTCTGAAGGGAGTCATATGGAGGAACACTAGGGTCTGTATTCGCTTCTTCAAGCTTTTCTGAAATGAATTGCCTGAAGATCGCGCTGTCGGGACCAACCTGCAGAGACTGTCTGTAGAGGCTGTGTATTTCTGTGGTGACCTTCTTCCGCGGTTTGTGCGTTCGCATGACAGTGCGGGTCCTCAGTGCTGAAATATCAAAGGCTTCTGTGTCCTGCTCACCACCACCTTCATCGTCATACCTGACAATGTTCTCTCTGAATTCTTCCATTTTCTCTGAAAAGGGGGATTTCTTCCTCTGCTGCCTTATGGCTACAACTGCTAAAAAGAATACTGACACACAAAATAAAAAAGAAAAGCAAGGAGGGGAAGGAAACAGAAACAAAGATTTTGAATGTGTTTGAAAAGATATAAAAAGGGTAATGTTTCTCAATATCAATGGTATTGCATAGTGAAGACATTTTATCAAATTTATAGAGCTGTGATTTTTATGGATTTTATTGTTTTGAGGTAGGGGCTCTGCTTAGCTCAGTCAGTTAGAGTGTGGTGCTAATAACGCCGAGGTCGCGGGTTCGAACCCCGTACGGGCCATCTGTTGCCTGATCTAGTTGAGAGGTGTCCCTGCCCATGACAAGGAGGTTGGATTAGATGATCTCTAAGGTCCCTTCCAGCCTATGCCATTCTATGATACTATGACATGACCATAGTATGTGGTGGGAAAAGTGGCTACAAAGGGACTTAAAACAGGTGATTGAAACAGTGTAGTTCTTTTGGTAGGTGAGAGTTTGAAACTGATGAAAACACAGGTTATACTTTTTGAAACTGATTTGGTTTATCACATAATATATCAAATCCACATTCAGAATTTAAGTTCTTAATCTCTTATCCGATCAAAGCCCCAGGAAGACCAGATGAAATATGAAGGAATGAGGAGGATATCCTACTCATTTGGTTGAAACATTCAGTTCCATAGATGACACAGGGTGTGGTTCAACTATTTCTGTTATGCTCTCCTGGAAATTTGAAGACTATCGCTACATTTTGTCTAATGTTGTAGCAGTACTTACTACCAAGGTCCATGAACTAGAGTAGTTTGTTTCTCTCATAAATAAAAGCTTTTTTAAAAAATTATCTTTAATCCTATCTCATTTTGGTTTTAGTTGAATGATCCCTTTGAAATCGTCTATGACTTTCACTGAAATTAATTCATTTTTTAACTAAAACTTAATGTAATTCTACTTAATAAGTAAGTAGTTTGTGGACTGTAATTTTTTTACTTGGTACATAACACGATATAAATATAACGATGATAGGATTTTACCTCAGTTAGGGATACAAGTGACCTGTAGTAGTTCTTTATTTCTATATATTTACCCTACATTATTTCATTTGATTGGGAGATGCCAACACCAAACTTGAAAACATTGGAAACAAGCATTTCTACAATATTATTATGTATTTACAAACCCCAGTCAGTTTCAACTCTCAACCCCTTTGCATGGTGAGCTCTTCTAACGGTACTCATGATAATACAGGAAAATGAAAAAAAAAAAAGAATTCTGAAATTTCAGATATGTGGTAAATATATTATGTATAGAACATTTTACTATTTCATTTTAAATAACCACAAAATTACATTTAAAGATTTAGTGCATTTAAAATATGTGTGTCTGTAGAGAGTGTGGTAGATTAGTTTCTACTTCTTCCTAATTAATATATTTATTTATTGCCCTGCTTTGACTTTTGTGATAGGCCCAGTAGTTACCAACAGTTTATTTCATCTGGAGAGTGGACCTTGATAAATAATTCCATTGGTGGCCTGCATAATGCAGTGATAGAGTTTGCCTGATCCTCAGTACCTTAAGACCATAATAGAAAGTGACCAGGTTCAGATATCTTGCAACAAAAAAGACAACTCAAAATGCCTGAGTCAAGGAAAGTTCAGATTTAAATAAGGGGACTCTGGGAGTGTAGGCAAGTCTAGAAACTACAAATCCAGTTATATGTTCCTGTTTTCTCTGTTGGAAAGCAGGAGATGGAAATAGGGGAAACAGTGCAGTCCTGGACTTGGCTACGGGATCAGAAACAGCTAGTGTCTGTCCAAGAGTACTCCCACCTAGATATAATAATCTTGAGAAACTCTTACACTCTTTTCATCCTTGATCCATCTATTCAATGTGTTCATAGGGATGAATAAAAACATGTATTCTTTTACGTTCTGGTTCTGCAGTTTCCTGCATGTTGCCTAATTTTGAGATCCCAAAGCCATATAAAGATATTGACTCATAGTTGACAGGTATGCATGCTGCTTCTGGACAGCTCATTTAACTGTGGGACTAAAATATAGGGTTCCATTTGAGGAGACGTTTCAATGAGTTCAGAGCAGAAGATTCAATCAAGAGGCCAAAGGTACAACAGCAAATAATTAGAGTTAGTTTCTATTCCACATGATAAGGAAAATAAGCCATAAGGTTGTGGACAGAATGAAGGTTATGGGTGATTTTTAACTTTTTAAATTTCCCTTTTTAGTATAAAGCCAAAATAATTCCATTAGTTTTATTAGACTTCTATTTCTTGTCTTCTGTTGCTACTGGAGCAAAGTACAGATCAGAGTGCATGCTTTCATTTCCAAGTTTCATCTTTCTTCTGGTTAATGATTATATGCTTGGTGTTGTATGCTGTTGTTTATGGACTGGTAGAGGTCACACTGTATAATGACGTTAGAAAAAAGAATGTTTTTTACCTAGATATCCTTCACATAAAAAAAAAAAAAAAAAGGATGGATTTCCTTAAAATAATTTTGTATTTCTTTCATTCAGTGGTATGGGAGTTTAAAAATATTACCATTGTGCTTGCTTTTATTAACAAATACAATGAGAGAATAATTTTCAACAAAAAAAATTTTGTTTCTTAAGGCAATGTAATTTCTGTTATTACTTCTTATTCTCTAGACATTATATCTGTGTAACTAGATATTCTGCTGTAGTTTTCTTAGTTTGATTATGATTATATTTTTCCTTAATATTTTGTAGAATTTGTTGTGCTATGTTTGCACAATTTATAATGATGTTTTGATATCACTCTGCTTAGTGAAATCCTGGTTCTATCTTAATTTTCTTATTTTGGAGTCGCTTTGTTTTAGTTTCATTAGTGGAAAAATGGTTTTATAGACGTAATTCATAAGTTTTATGGTATTTTTGGATATGATGTTTTATGAAATACACTGCTATATGGCATAATATGGATACATTATGTTTTTAGACAGGATTTGGAAGTCTTTTCCTGTCATTTTGTTAGCAGCAGCTTGAATTTGGTCTTGAGGGCCATGATCACCATTAGTGACCACACTCTAAGCTCAGTCATTTTGCCTTGGAAAACAAATCTTTGTGTCTCTATCACTTTTCTTTCTTTCCCAGCCTCAGAAACTACCATACCTTAACCTCGCTAACTCAGACAGGTACAAAGTTTCAGGATGGATATTTAGTCATTGGAAATGATCAATAAAGTGTGCCTGCTGTTGTCATATGTAAGTCTCATCAAAATACTCACCAAACACTGCAAGAACATCATTTAATGGAAGAAAAAAAAATGCATTTTAGTAGTGATAGTTGCATGCCTCGCCAGGCGCAGAGTGTGTTTCCCTGAGTGCTGCCACTCCAGTAGGTCTTGCAGCAGCCACAGACCTGAGCAGGGAGGAACAGCCAGCCTTGGGTGGTTGGTCTGGTTTTGAGTGTCATGTGCCACCTGTGCATGACCCTGTACAACGGTTCGAGCACAACTCCAGTACATTTAAAACTCTCTCAAAACCATCTTTCACATTCACGAGTTCTCGACTGTAATGGAGGTTAATATGGTGACCCAGGAAGGGAAAAAGGAGATGTCCAGCATTTGGAGAAAAGGCTCTCTGGAGATGCAGCCTTATTAATCGACAGAGAAACTTCCCATTTGTTTCTGGAGTTTCTTTCTGAGAGTGTCAAATTCTCTTCTTCTTTTATTATTTTGTATTGATTTTAGCTCTGTACTTGACATACCTAAAGAGGAATGAATAGGGTACTGTTCCTTTTAATATACTCTTATATTAGTCAACTTATTTGTGTAGTGCTGTCTTTGGCTTTATCTGGGGTAAATACGGACTTTGGACCAATACAGACAAGTAGTACTGTGACTCATCTGAAGCCAACTTTTAGGACATTGTGTTAAAATTCAAAGTTTACTGAAAACTGTGCGTGGGGAGGGAATTACAGTTAGGAAAATGAAAAATAAATGAAAAAAATCTCCTTATTCCATCTTTTTCTTAATAACACATTATTTCCAGGCTTCCAGTCAAGATAATATCTTTGTAAGTTAATCAAGCCTACTGTAAAAGGAAACAAAGGATACTTACCTAGGAGTACTAGTACGCAAGCCAAAACAGCAACTAAAGCTTCTGTGCTGAGACCCATGGCGTACATGAAAGCTCCATATCGACAGTAAAGGATGTTAACCTCTGTGTCACAGTCGCAGACTGTGATAGTGAGGGTATTTGTGCTTGTCAGTGGTGGGGTTCCGTTATCCAGAATTAAGATTGGCAAGTAGAAATAAAACTGCTCTTGCCTCCTGAAGCCACTTTTTGCTATGAAAATTCCAGCTGTGTTATCTAGAAAATAAATTATTATAGATGATACTCATTTATCACTTTTTAAAAGCAACAATAAAACTGCAGTGGAATCTGATGTATTTAAAAACAAAGCTACTGTTAAAAAGATACATACTAAGAAAGTTTAAAAAGTAAAACCCAGCACTGACATGTGGTGGGTTTTCTGTGTCGGTTGTGAATAATTGCATCTATTTTTGACATGTATTCCAGGGACAATAATAAAATTTGACATAGGAGCTCTGTTTTTAGCATTCAGAACTAAAAAAGATGCCACCATGTTCAGTACTTGACATCTGCTTAGATTAACTAATTGATTCTTAAAACCGTTCCATGTAACCAGCTGTTACCAGTACAGCAGTTCGCAGATGAAATATGGACAGTTTACCAATCAAAAGGCTTCAGAAATGTGTCTAGCAGCACACAGAGAAAGCACATGGCAAGGGA